TTGAAATTATATTTATATTTCATGAATATATATTTTAATTATTGCGTTGCACATTTAGTTATTCAAGAATTCTTGGATTTATTTATTTATTTATATTAAAAATTAAACCTATTTATTTGTTTATTTAACCATTATTCACTACAAATAAGTGTCATTTTATTAAATACTTATATTGGAATACAATACAATATGGAATATATAATATTTGTCAACAGCTTCCGCAACACTTTAGCTGAGACTTCAATTTCTACTACAATTACGATTTACTACCAAATCTACTCCTTTGCCTACTGTCTTCGTGTAACTCCTAACCCAAGCCCTAACCTTTTATTATTTTTTGTGATTGCGCCTGCGTCAGCTTCAATTGGACGGCCCACGCTGGAAAGCCGCTTTCCGGCCCAAAACGAACTGTTGCTCATTTCTGGCTAACACTGGGCTGGACTGTGCTCAGGGCTCGGGGCTCAGGGCTCAAGGCTCGGGGCACAGGACACGGGACACGGGACACAGGAGATGAGACACTAACCAACGCGCCGGCAGGCAAACACTTTGCATGCAATTTAGTACACATTCTGCCTTTCGCCTTTCTTACACATGAAAACACTTTAGCCGGTCAGCTGGAACCGCTGCCAGTTGAACAGAGTCCTGGACATTAATTGCAATTTTTGGGGCACGCCTGCACGCCTCCATGGTGCTGGACACCACAGGTTAGGGTGCCATTGGTTTTTGTTTTTCCGTTTAAGCTCATCTGCTGGAGTGGCTTTTGGTCAGGTTTGCTAGAGGACTTTTCCATTAGCCGTAAGCTGTGCGGCCAAATTGAAGTCCGAAGTTGGGATTTAAGCCTGCTGAACACATGACCTCCTCTATCCCTTTCGCTGCACGCTGTCTCTTTCTCTCTCTCTCTCTCTCTCTCTCTCTCTCCATCTATCGCTCGTTGCTCAGTTTACCCCATTGCGAGGCTTATCGCAACAGGAATAAACCACATGCTGCATTTCCGTTGCCAAATCAAATTTCAAATAGAATATACAAATAATTTTTAATACATTTATTTTTATTTTTATTAACATTTGATTCGTAAAGTGTACAAAGTACAAAAAGTTATCAATAAAACATTTTTAAATTGGAATTAAATATTTTTACCATCGCAGCAGCAATGAAAATGAAATAAACTACGCATAAATTTCAATCTCCATTTCATAAAAATAAAAAATTTAAAATGAAAATGAATTTCATATGTAAAGCACTTTTTACGTTTTCAACTTTTTAATTGCATTAAATTTTTATTTTCAAATTTTATATTTATTTTAACAGAAATTCAAAAGCCATTCAAGTTCTTGCAGTTTAATTAAGCCATAGGTACCCTCACCCTACTAGCCCACACACACACAGTCACACAAACACTGTTAGGCACATGCATATTTGGTCATGCCGACCGCAAATGGAAACCCGTCTTCGGTTAACCAGAATACCGGTTAACTGTAACCGCTGTGCAGGCAGCATCCAACCGACCTATGTCCATCGCCCACCGACCCCCGCTCACCGTCCATTGCCCACAAATCAAACCCTTTTCAATGCAAACTTAGAACTAATTTAAATAATTTATTTTCGCTCGCTAACAGCAACAATATGAGCCAACGTGGACAGCAACACTAGCAAATACTCTGTAGCTCATTCAAATTCAGATAGAGAGATCTCAAAATACCTTATACAAAGTCTTTTTGTTTGTACTTTTCCAGCAACTATTTATAAATCTTTTCTTTTTTTTAAGAATTTATTTATTGCGGCTTCTGTCTTAGACTCTACAGCGCAATCATCGTTAAACCTTAACCTAAATTATGGGCTAGAAACCAGTATTTACACTATTTGAAATCGCTATTGTAATAATGTAAATTTACACAGCATTATTTAATATAGTATATTCCAGTTTATTATATCTAGTACAAGTCCTCTTTGGCACAATTGCTATATACCCTATTCTACGCATATTTAATGAGTATATGGCATTAAAACATCAGCAAACAAAGGGTATTTAACATTCATTCGAGTAAATAGAAAAGTAAGAACAATTTGAAAGGGCCAGGACAACAGCTCAGCTAGCAGCAACTATATAGTATATGGTAATTCAATATATATCAGAGTAACTCATCATACAGCAGATCTTTCAAGTGAGCCAAGCGCTACGGCTGTAGCAGGCCACTGTTAGAGGCTTTGAACTTATTTCGGCTGGTTTTAATCAGGCCCCAAATGCTGTGAACGTGACCGCAGTGTTAATTAACATATGTGAGGCACAACGTGTCCAAATTGGAGGGCCAAATAGGATGTGCATGTATGCATGTGCAGTCATCTCGAATTTTAGCACACACTATATGCTAAAGAGACCAGCGCCGTTTCATGTGCGGAAGCAAGCTAACCAAAATTTGCCGCTGCCTGTTATTAGGCAGCGAATGCAGATGTGTGTGTGTGTGTGACTGTATTTAGCGAATGTGTGTGTGTTTGACATGCTATTAGAACCTGTCCAGCAATTAGGCCAACCCGACACGTTCCATTTGGTTTTACATCTGCAACGCGGCGTTTTTCAATTTATGTTGCCTACTTTTTGGGGCAACCTTATTTAATGGACCAAAATAAAAGCAAATAATTGAGCCGATAGTAAACAGGCCAACAAAAAAAATAAAAACATTCCTATATATTCGAAAAATAAACAATTTTAAGTAAATTGCATTTCAGTTAACATGATTGTGTGTGAAGCATTTTAAAAACTCAATTAAAAACTTTTTGGCATATGAAACAAATTCAATTAGACAAAAACAAGATATAAGAAAAAACAAATATGTTTACACTGCAAAAGTAATTAATTATTTATAATAACTAAAATGAAATTTATTTCAGATTTTAGCTAGAGGCAAATTTAATACGATTTCTGTGAGAGATAAAATAATTTATTGAGAAAACAATTTATTGGTCGATTAAAAAAAAAAAAGGATTTTTATGAAAATGAAATAAAAGTTTCTTTTTAGTGCTAAGCCATATATTGTTTATGGTTTAAAATCTATTCAGCGGAATTGAACTCTGAATACGGATTAAGTCTGTAATTATTATAAATGAATGAGTGCATATTCACGCATATGCCAGCTATATTTAAATATTATCTGCCATTTATTTGAGCGTAGTTTATGCCTAATGCCAGCTTAATATGCGTCTGCACAGTTGTTGGCTGGGCAAATCAATTAACTGTGACATTACACACAAGCGCCTCGACGTCTTCCACAGCCTTTCATGCAACAACAAGAACAACAATAACAATAACAACAATAGCAGCAACAATGACAACAAAAAGCTGCGGTCAGCTATTTGGCATATATGAAAAGTTGACCCGCCACAAAAAAGAACCACATTAAATTTTGACATGGGTCCCTTATGTGACCATGTGCCAGGCACATGAGACACTCAGGCCCAGACGGCAGTCAAATTTTGGACGGGGAGGTGTCCATAGCACCAGAAAAAGTTTTACACTCGACTTGTTGTTGTTGCTGTTGTTGTCGTTGTCATTGTTGTTGTTGTTGTTGCCCCTTCTGGATCTCGCAGTCGGCAGATGCAAAGAGCAAGGTGGCCAATTTCAGAATGGATTTGTGGCCAACACAACAAACAAGGCCCACTTCACACCACGTAAAGTTTTTAAATATGCATGAACACCTTTTCGGAGACTGAGCGTGCGGCTAGGCAGGCTAGGCTGGGCACACACGGCGCATACTTGATAACGCAAAATCTCATTTCAACGCCACCGCAAGCGGCAAAGGATGTGCTGTCTGGAGCAAACGAAGGACAGCACGACTTGCCACTGAAATCGGTGAAACATTGTACATAAACTGTATAAATGATGACAAAGGACGTAAATGTAAACTATACAAATAAAATGCATATCTAAACAGAAATGAAATTATAAATATGTAATCAGATAATTTTATTTGAAATAAATATACATTTTAAGCAATATGCAAAATTTAAAAATGTACAAAAAATTAATTAAAGAACCAGCATGCTAATCTCGACAGCAAATAAATGTTGTATTTCAACACCTATGTGATTTTTTCATTATTTTCTTCTATTATTTATGTTAGGTGATAGCAATTTTTAATTAAATTTGTACAGCATTTGACATAGCATTGCGAAACTTTGTGGCAATTCAATTGAAAGTTTGCTGAACTTCAATGGGATAGCTGTGTGGCAGGGCTCATCTGTGGGCAGGGCGACATCCTGGCGTCGAGAGTGCCGTGTCCTTTTCTTAAGACAAACGATGGCTGTGCAAATGTGTGCACAAAATTAAAATGTTTACCTCTGTAATGAGCTTAGGTGTTTGATGTCTGTGGCACAGCCAACCGGCATCTTCATCGCTTTGTCCATCAATCAAGCTACAAATGTTGCGTCGCTTTACATTTAATTCCAGACGGTGTTCCATTTAAGCAATTCACGAACTCATATTTAATGCAAACGATAATCCAAACATAGCTGTATATTACTGAAATTGAGTGAGCTGACTCTCCCCTCTCTCTCTCTCTCTCGCCCTTTCTATTTATCTCTGCCGTGATTGAATGGCAACGGTAGGGGTAGAAAGTAAGTCAGGTATTCAAGTGGCTCTGTGCTCCACTTCAGTATTTAAATATATGCTACCCCTTTCTCATACAGTTTTGATTTCGAACCCACATTTAAAGGTCAAGGCATCCCAATAGAGCAACTGGTTGAACACGTAGTCCACTTGACAAGCATTTGGCATGCGGCTTGTGATGCGTGCCAAAGTGTTTGGCATGCACAACTTGCAGTTGGCAGTGGGCGTGACCAAACAAAAAAACAAAAACAAAAATGTAAGAAAGCTCTAGTCAGGACTGCTTGACTGCGAGATCCCTTTAACCCTTTGAGGGACGAATATTACAGTATAGATATGGGATGGCACAGCCAGAATTGATGCAGACCTAGTCCTAGTCCTTAAGAGAACTATAGAACAGAAGAAACTGCAGTCTATGCGTATTATAAATATTAATATATGTACATAAGCTATTCAGCATTTCAATAGTTTAGTTTGCCCTATCAAACATATATATTTAACTATGCGTGCTTGTGTGCTTTTATATATGTTCGTATGTCTGTCTGTACGTCTGTCTCCCAGACCGTCTCTCAATCTTCCTCTCTATTTGTCTGCCTAACAATAGCAAGACACGAAGAAAAACTACAGATCATTTAAGTTATGTGTATGTATGCAACAGTATTAATTTGATATTTATATTTAAAAAATCGAATCAAGAACGATTGCCAGCAGAGAGGGCTCCCATTGGTCACTTTAAGATCGACTGCAACGACTTCTACGAAGCTAGAATGCTTGCAGCAGCAGAGAGGGTTCCCATTGGTCCCTTGAAACTTAACTGAGACGAGCTCTACCTGCCGTCGGGCTAAACATATGAGCGCGACTCGGGCTTCGAGTGAAAGTGCCCTATATATAGGGCAACAGCTGCAGCATTTCTTCAGTCGCTCAGGCCCGTTGGGGGTCAGTTGTACAGTGCAGTAAAGTGAAGTGTGATCGGTCATCTAAGCATTGAAGACTTACAGGATATACTAAGAGGAAATTCTTGGAATAAATACTTAAAAGAAAACAAACATAGAGAGAATATTTAGAGGAAACAAATAGAAGAAACGCTTAGACGCAACACTTGAAGGAAATACTTTGAGGAATAATTAATATAATTAATATTTGACAAAATCATTTTTCTTGTTTTCCCATTTTGGTTTTAAGATATACAAAAAAAAATTAATAGAATTGGAGTTGTTATCCTTGCCTTATCGAGAGCTTCATCGTGCTTAGCATCCCTAGAGGTGGTGACTTGCTGTGCGTTTGTGCCTGTGCCTGTGCCTCTGTCTGTGCTTGATCAAAGGATTTAAGTTTTGCGCATTGGTAATGAATGTCAGTTGGTGTTTTCGTTAATTTAAAATATATTTCTCAACCACAAAGAAACACACACAGCACGTTTGGCACGCACCTTCAGTTGATTCCCCATGGCCTTTTATCGTTCTACGGCTGTTGATTTAATTTTACTTTACCCGCTCTTAAGCTGTACAAAGGGGTATATTCAGATAGCAGATTAGTGGGAAACTTGAGCACTGTGAACTTTGATATTTTATTTAATCTTATACAGCTATATTCAGTTAACAAACGAGGACTATATTGGAGTATTGTATATTTTTTCTTTGTTAAATAATTAAATCGGATGTTTTTGTCTTATATATACATATATTATTTTAATTATTTTTATTAAATTGTACAGGGTATTCGCTAGTCATGGACTAATATTACTCTACAGAGTACATCTTTATAGAGCACATGCTTAACCCAGGCTTATACGACTCTTACCCACCCAGTACACATTTTTCTGTACTGTATGTTTATATTTTGTTTAGCCTCGCAAAGAGTATTCAAGCTACTTCAAGATATATGGCACAATATGTCACAGCCTGTCCGTAAACTTAAATTGATGAGATATTGAACACATTTCCAAAGAAAGTATAACGAAGGAAGTACAGCGACACAGTTTATCCCAGCTCTGACAACTTGTTTCAGAACCAATCTGATCTGGGTCGTACAAGTACATTACAGCCACAAATAAATGCTTAATTTAAATTTTATTTTATTTAATATAAGTCATAATATAAATAAAAACATTTTAAAAATAAAAAAAAAACCACAAAAAATTTTTACTAAACAATATATATTCATAAATATAACAATATATATATATTAAATTGTATTAATATCTTTGCCATACAGCCGCATTCGAAAGAGTATGCGAAATTCGGTATCATGCGGATTACAGATTTTCCTTGTTACTTTTAAGACATTTGCTACACAAAGCAAACGTGGAAAATGTGTTAAAAAGTTGCATGCAGAGCGGACCAGGAACAAAAGTTCTTAGCATCATCCTCGTTGTTGTTGCCGTTGCTGTTGCTGTTGCTGTTGCTGCTGTTGTTTATTGTTGTTGCTGCCTTTTGCGTGTTTGTGTTTTGCTTTTGAAGTCACACACACAAACATATACACACATGCAGAGCCACGCGCTACGTGCAACTTGCTAAAATTGCGAGAAAATGGAAATTAAATGAACTTGAAATTGTGAACAGCTCCGATAGATATATGTGTGTATATGTGTGTGTATGTACTTGTAAATATGTGTATACATATATAAATAAACACAGCGACGCAATTGCCACTGTACTTCAGCTAGGGTTACGCATTCCTAGTTGCCACGCAATGTGGCAGCGTGGCAATGACGTCGCCCCAACTTTTGCGTAGGCGGCCGCGCTAACCCCCAGCGTCAGAGCTTTCCTTCAACAGCAGCCGCAACAAAAAGCGAGAGAAAATCTAACTAGTGGCAAAGGCCATCGACAGACGTCAGTTCCCAGACGAAGTGTTAGCAGAAGGCTGAAGTGTTCTATAGTTGGCTTACAATTATATAATACATAATTCTAAATTATTGTAAAAACACATTCTCATCTGCTCATATAGCTCACCAAGCAGCTAAAATATATCTTTACTTAACTCATTCACTACTAATTTACATATATTATATATGAATTCATGACTTTTCTATAACAAGTTTATAAAATATTTAAAGAACATATTCCATATTATTTAGTTAAAGGTAACAAAATATATTATTACTAAATTCAACAAAAGATATTTTTTCGACTATGCAGTAGTTTTAAGATCTAAAGCAAGAATATTTCTATATATTCATTATATGTGTATTTTATGTATATCTCTCCTTTGATTGGTGGAAGATAAGTGAATATGTTGATGTAAATACAGGCATATTTAACTACTATTCACTTACGATTCACAATCAGCAAACTCACTTCGTTCAACCTGTTTATGATATTAAAACGGCTGCCTATAAATAAATTTAAATATAAAGTATATTAGTTCCATCTCTCTTTTAAAATTCACTAACTGTGCACATACCCATTTTAATCTCAATGAAATCACCTGATTTCAAGACGTATGTCTGTATGTTTTCTGAGTCTCTTTGCACCTCAACAACAAACTCTCCAAAGAGCGAAAGAAAACGCTGTAGAGCCAAACAATAAAATGAGAAAAATATACGTGAATATACAGATTGAGGCGTACCAAGGTGTTAGTTTTGTTGCGCTTCATGCCGCGCGCTTGCAGTGGCTGGAAACGCATGTAGCCCATGCCCCACGATTCCTCTGTTTTATAGAAGCTGTATTCAATGCCATCCAGATTCATGAACTTCAATTCGCTCACAGATGCTGTCAAACAAATATTTAATTAATTAACTTTAAAMCATTTAGAATGCAGGCTCCACTTACTAAAGCGTATTATACTGTCATCAAGCGCATTTTGAGCAACAACGTCAGACTCTTGCGACATCTCAACTCCGCGTAGAAATTCCGCCATCTGCAAGAGTTGTGTTTGGGACGTATCCAACCTGGGTGTGGATGGTGGCAGCTCAGACACTAGCTCCACTCCAGACTGCATTTGCTCAGGTAATTGTAAGGCTTCTGCTTGGACTGCAGGTTCGACTTCTGCTGCAGCTTCACGTTCAGTATCTGAAACTGATTTTAATGCTCGGCGTCGACTTCTCCTTCGCGCGTTGCCTTCCCTTTCCACTCCAGACTCCATTTGCTCAGGTAATTGTAAGGCTTCTGCTTGGACTGCAGGTTCGACTTCTGCTGCAGCTTGGCGTTCATTATCTGAATCTGGTTTTAATGTTCGGCGTCGACGTCTCTTTCGCTCGATTTCATTTTCTATTACATTTGATTTGGGACTTTCGTGTGCTGTTTCCTGTTGCTCCTCTTCTTCAGTTATTTCAGGCAATGGCGAAATTCCCGATTCTCCAAAGTCTTCTTCGCCTTGGCGCTTACGCTTTAGTGGGCTTGTATGGCCACGCGAAGTCGAAGGCGTATTCTCATTGAGCGTAATGCTACGAGTAGTTGGGTCCGACTTCGACTTTCGCTTGCGCTTTCGCCTATTGGTGTCAATAATCGCGCGCTCAAAAAAGGTAGACTTGAAGGGCTCACTGACGCTGTGAACCCAAGTATTACGCAGTGGAATTTGGCCACGTCTTGATTTACGCACTCCATCTGTAGAGAGAAAATTAGTTTGTATATTATCAAAATTATTCAATCAGGACAACTAAAATAATAGAGTTAACTAGCTATTTAAGCCATCAATCAGTGAGTCAATCAACTTGGAACTCATTCTTACTTGTATCATCATTACTGCATGTTTCATCGTTCAGCGGTGGCAACGTCTGATCTCCTGTTGTTATGCGCAGATTTTGCAACTCTCTGCTTATGCTTAAATTCCTTTTACTAGCTCTTGGTGCCGGTAAGGTCGGTTTCTTGAATACACTGTTGTCTCCTGTGGATTTTTTTTGTCTTGAATTTGGTTTCGCTTTCTTCTGTTGCCGAGTGCTCGACAACATCAGGGCTTCGCGAGCCGCTTTGCTAGTGCTCGGTTGCTCGTCAAGCTCCATTTGATGGTGGGCTGATGATGGTGGAGTTGGTGTTTGCATGCGCAATTCCTCCATGTAGCTGCTACTACTGTCCTGAGCCGACGGCAGCTGTATATTATCCGATCCCATAACAGCTTGAAGATGGTCCAGTGGATCTGTTTGTTTCTGTTGAGTATCCTCCGAGCTTAGCACCTCGATAATATCCTCAGAAGACTTGTGCAACAATCGATTCGAGTCTGGTGGGGGCGACCCAACTGATGCATTCTTTAGAAACCCAGAAGCTTCAGCAACTTCTGTACCTTGTTCCCCTTGCTGCTTCAAAGAAGATCTGCGTACCTGACGCGAGTATCGAAGGGACTCTGGTGGAGGCGGCACAATTTGTATATCATCTATAATCATGGCGCAAGAGCTTTGACTCTGCTCTTCAGCAACATTCTCAGCTTGCTCGGCTACGGCATTATCGTTTGGCTGAAGTTGACTTCCTCGTAAATTGCGCGAATATCGCAAAGACAGTGGTGGGGGCGGCACAATAGGGATATCCTCGACATCCTCGCCGTTGCCTAGATTCGGCGGTGGAGCAGGTGCTATCTTTATGCTGTCGGTGATTTCGCCATGTTGCGCCACCAATGGCTGCGATCGATCATCCTCGTTATCCGAATCACCCTTTGTATACAGACTGCGCTTAGTCTCGCACTTCTTGTTTTCATTCAGCCTCTTTTTAATAGTGGTAGGCAGCTCCAGATAGTTTTGCAGCTCGGTAGACTGTGAAGTGTATTAGAATTTTAATCAAAATTAATATTAGAGAGCTATAGATTATCTTACAATGGGTATGCCTCGGCGCCTGGAGCGCGATCGTCGTGGCAGCGGAGGCGAATCTTTAGGCACATCTGGCTGTGGAGGGGATTTATTAACGTTCTTCGGGACAGTCAATTCTGGACTGGTTGCAGTCACCTTGCTGGGCAAGCCATCGCCCCGACCGCTTAGATTACGACGCAGCATTTCCATTTGTATGCTCTGCTCCAAAGCCAGCTGCTGTTCCTTGGTGAACACTTGCTGGTGATGGATTCTACCAAGTGAGTTACGTTTTCGCAAATCGAGAATCTCGTAGTTGGTCATACGTGCAAGCTCCTCGGCAAAGTCTTCCCCATTGATGGCCTGCAGAACCGGCTTATTGAGTGGAGGTTGATTCGTCCTCTTGACACGCAGCTCTGGTGAATCACTCCTGCGCGTACGATGAAGATCGAGCAACTGGGTTGTCCTCTCTTGGCTTTCATCTTGCTTTTGCCGGCGATTTCGCCTGGTTGTGTTGCCAACGCCAGACGCCAAGTCGAGCGGAGACGCACTTTTCTCAACCCCGACGTCGTTCTCCTCCAAAGCTCGGCTTCCACATGCAGCATCAACATTCTCCGGCATGCACGAGGTTTGGATGCCACAACTAACAGCTAGCGGTGGCGTTACTGATCCGACTGCGCCGACCAAATGTTGAATATTCTCCTGCGCTTGTGTTTCAGGCACAATATGCTCCGATTCTGTCTCCATAGGCTGCGAGTCTGACGCTCTAGTTGGCGTCTTGTTCGATGGTGATTGAGTTCCAGACACAATCCGATCCGATCCTAACGCAATATGCTGTGGGGCTCGGCTTAAATCCATATACGGCAACGAACGTCTCACACGTACATAAGGCTGTCTACTACTAATGGAAGGCGGGCAACCAGTCAACGGCGGAGTTGAAGCCTTCGTTACTCTTTGTCCCATATTTGTGTCTTTGTTGGTGGGTGAGCGCGAGTCCAGGTCGTCATCTAAAATTGGCTTTTCTATAACAAAGGTGCCCCGGCGGTCAACGTCTGTTGGATGGTGTGAATCGATTTTCGAGCTCGGCGGCTGTTCTGTACCCCGACTGGCTGGTCGAACTCGCGCGCCTCGACGCGGTGAATGCGTTAGGCTCTCTTCAAAGCTCCCCTCGAAATCAGCATGATTCAACGCAGACTTCGGGGTTGTTGCCGTCGCTGCCGATTGCGTGCTCTGTGGTAGTAGCACTTTTGCCGGTTTCTCCAAAGCAGGTGTGCTACTTACTTTGGGCAGCTGTAAGGTGCTCAGTCATTAACAGATTGTAATACTGAACCAAGAAAAACACTTACAAAAGCAAACGATCCCGAGTTTTTTTGTGTCTCGTTGACCACAGAATAAAGATCTTCTTGCAGATATTGTCGCAAACGACTCACATGACAGAACTTGCTCACAGCCAAATGACACGAAGTATTGCAGTCCCTTACGGCTCCACCGCTTTGCTTAACTGGAGAGCAGTTGAGCTGAGCCGGCAGCGCACTGAGGGAACGTCCTATATCTCTATTCTCATCTGTTGGCGATTTGAGGCTTTCTAATTTTGGCTGTGATTCGATCACTAAGCGCGGTACATTAGCTGAAATGGAATTATTAAACGTGTCACGTAGGGGTCGGTTATTTGCTACGTTTTGTGAACCTTGAAGCTGAGTCTCCTGCTGATTTTCCTGCTGTTGTTTCTGTTGTTGTTGTTGTTGTTGTTGTTGTTGTTTTTCTGGCAGTTTGATCAAATCGACGTCTATATCAAATGACACGTCATAGCCACCAAGCGCATACTGGGGACTGTTTCTTGGCTTTGGTGCGGTTTTCTTTTTTAGAAAATCTTTAAATTTATTCTCATCCGGATCGTCCGCATCTAAAATGTCTTGCAATTCGCGTAGTGTTGTCTCGCTTGCTTTTGGCCTGCAAAAGAAACAAGGCATTTTACCGTATGGAATGTTTGTTTTAGTTACAGCACTTACATATTTAAGATACTACTACTATATGCGTCCAGTTGTTTAAAAAATAAAATTGATTTATTAAATATTTCGTATCAGAATTTAAATGAAATATTCAAGCGACGCGTAGTAAATGATGCGCGGTGTTTATTATGTACGCGTTGAACAGCACTGGACGACACTGCGATAAATACATCGATAATTTATCAGCGATAGCTGTGTTGGAATGACACAGGCAATATCAATGCATCTCTCTGTTCTCTGGCTATATACGTTATTGGGTGTAAACATTTGGCGCTCAGCACAATGAATTTCGATGGCATCACTGTACCCCGGACTTTAGTGCCCCATAACTATTTACAGCTGGCATTAGCGGCGCAGCGAGGCAGACAGCGAGAAGTTAAGGAACTGCTGGAAAAGGTAGTGAAAGAGTGATAATTTGAATAATAGATAAGATATTGTTCTCTTTTGCAGCGCAAATTGCCGGAGCAAGGCTGGCGGGATGAAGAGATCGAGCAGCTGGTGCACCAGCTGGCCGCACTAGACAGCAACAATTTCGCACACAATGTGGGTCTGGGTGAGCGTGAGGCGCGTATTGCATGCAGTAAGTGAATGACATAAACATTCAAAAGACATTGTAAACATTAATCGGGTTTTAATCGTTCAGAACTTGTAGCGCGAAGACATTATAACTTTGGTCATGGCATTGGTCGCTCGGGAGATTTGCTGGAAGCACAGCCAAAGGCAGCCGGCTCCACACTAATGGCCAATCTGACAAACGCTATGCTTTTGGATCTGTTGCACATGCTCGGCCTACAAAGCTGTCACGGCTGCTTCCTGGTTCCCTTAGCCACCGGCATGACGCTGACCTTGTGCTTACAGACGCTTCGGAAGAGGCGGCCGAATGCAAGATATGTTCTCTGGTCGCGCATCGATCAGAAATCTTGCTTCAAAGCAATCACGGCCGCCGGTCTGGAGCCCATCGTAATACCCCATGTAGTGCTGAAGGAGGAGCAGGCATTGGCCACCGATTGCCAAAAGTTTGAACAGCGCATCCAAGAACTTGGTACCGACAAAATACTCTGTTTGTACAGCACCACGAGTTGCTTTGCGCCTCGCAATTGCGACAGCATTGTGGAGCTAGCAAAGCTGGCCAAACGCGAGTCTATGCCGCATCTCGTCAACAATGCCTATGGACTCCAATGCGAGGCAATTACCAGCCAGCTGGAGAGAGCACAGCGCGTCGGTCGCATAGATTACTTTGTCCAGAGCACGGACAAAAACCTAATGGTACCCGTTGGCGGCGCCATTGTGGCCAGCTCAGATGCTCAGCTCTTAGAACAGCTGGCCAGCAGCTACGCGGGTCGTGCGAGCAGTTCCCAAACACTGGATGTGTTCATGACACTGCTCTCATTGGGTCGCAACGGCTACCAGATGCTGCTGCGCGAACGTCAGCAAAATTTTGAATATCTCAAACAGCGATTACAACAATTTGCCGCAGAGCACAATGAAATTGTGCCACAATGCAAGAATAATCACATATCACTAGCACTCACTCTAAGTACACTCAATTCGGAACACAACGGGGCAGACAACAGCATCACCCAACTGGGCGCCATGCTTCATGCACGGGGCGTCTCCGGCGTACGCGTCGTAAACGTTGGCCAGAGTAAATCCATTGATGGCCATGAATTCAAACGTACGTATTCAAAATAAGGCAGGCAATGTTATACTAACCCGTTTTACATTTTAGATTTTGGTTCGCATCGCGAGCTGCTGGAGACGCCGTATTTAACAGTAGCTGCGGCTCTGGGCGTGCATCGACCGGAAATAGATAAGTTTTTCGTAATATTGGACAAATGCTGGACGCAGTTTAAGAAAAGATCTGCTTAGGATTCCAAAACATTTTAGATAAGCTAACTATAAGCTAAACTAACAATAGTTATTCTGGAAGCGGAAAAAAATAACCAGCTTGGGGCTTGGAATGTTTGCATTGTATTATAAATCTTCTCTTCTAAAAAGTGCATATAAAAACAATTGTTTGTATGAGTATCTTAAAGAGTCTAACTATAAACAATTAATCTAAGCATACGTCTTATATTTGGATTATATTTAATGATTGTTTGGCTCGTTCTCTTTGTCATTAGCATTGCGCTTTGGCTGGTGGCGATCGCGGCTCTTTCGCCGAAGATGCTGCTGCATAGTTGCCTCGATTTGGGTGAGCGAGGTCTGGTACTCGAGCTTGATGCGCTCGTATTCGCGCTTCATGTGCGCTTCCTTGTCCTCCGCATAGATCTTGTAGTTGTGGGCGGTGCGCTTAGCGCTCTGATAGCGCTGCTGGGCTGCGCGCATGGCCTCTTCGTGAGTCTCGCGCAGCGTCTGCACCTGGGCGCGCCAATGCTTTTCCACCTGCTCTATGGATTGCTTTTGCTTGTCCCATTCATTCATGACGGCTTTCATGGAGCGACGCTCGGACTCTATGCTCGCATGCTGCTCTTCCAATTCGCGCAGTAAATCCGAGATGCGCTGATTCTTTGCCTGCAGCTCACTACGGCACTTTTGCACAATTTGCTTCTGCTTCTGCTCCTGTTCGCCCAGCAGCTGCTGCATTTCCTCACGTTCAGCCAGTATTGTCTGCTTTAGTAGATCAACCTCAGTCTGACGCTGCTGCAGATCGCGACACACCAGCTGATACTCGCGCTGCAAGCACAAGCTGCGCTCCTCCGTCTGCTGGACGCGCAGTGTAAAGCGCTTCAGCTCGGCTGCAAATAGCTTGGCCATCTCGTCACGCACACGCTGCTCGATGTGCTTGATCCGTGCCTGCGTTAGCTCTGGAGAAGCATGTGGCTCGCCACTACCATCCCCTGAGTAAGTTGTCACCTGTTTGTTGGGACTCTGTTGCTCGGCCAGTTTGACTGCCTCCTGCTGCAGTTGGCCCTCATAGAGCTGCGCCTTTAACTTAAGTTCGTTTAACAACTTCTCCTGCTCCATCGTCTGATGCACCTTTTTCTCTAGGTCTGTTCGCAACGCCTTCGACTGCTCCAGCTCATTGCGCAGATCTTCCAACTCTTTCGATTGCATGGAGTTCAAATTTTGCAGCTTCAGCATTTGGATTTCAATCTGTAAAGAAATATGCAATTAGATAAGACACTTATTGATGGATTACCTTTACCTGTACCTTTGTAATCTCGGCTAGCTGATCGTTGCACTTAGTGCAATGACTGGAGCTGTCCTTGGTCGCTTTGTCCAACTCCTCTTGCTTCTCTCGCTCCCATTTCTCACGCAGCATCTCGAGATCGCGCTCGTGGCGCAGCTTAGCTGTTTCCAAAATTTTATTTAGTTCTTGCGCCTTAATTTCCGCTAGCTCCACATTCCGTTGAAGCTGGGCGATTTGTTGTCGCTGTTCCTGCAGCTCCTTGATGCTATCCGTTTCGCTCAGCTTGCGCAGCTGATAGTTGAGCGTCTCCTTTTCATTGGCAATGGCCGTGTAGAGCGTCTTCAATCGCTCCACCTCGCCCTGCGCATCCTTTAGCAAGATCTTGTACCGCTCCAGCTCCAAACGCAAGTTGTCGGCAGTGGGTCGAATGCGGAGCTGACGATTCTCATCCGCCAACTCATCATGTTGACGGCTGAGCTGCTCATGCTCCAATCTCAGTTTGTCCAAATCCAACTTCGCCTGCTTCAGCTGTTTGTCAAGTTTTTGCCGCTCAGCTGTTTGCGAAATCGTTTCCTGGTGCATTGCATCCTTTTCGGCCAGCAAGGCATCCATGTCAGCTTTCAGCTTGGACACATTAAGCGAACTGTTGTGGTGATGTTCATCTAACTGCTCTTGCAACCCTTTGAGGCGAGTCTCTAAACGCGCCTTATCCTCCTTCAGATTGGCCAACTGTACCAGGGTTTTATTCTCCTCCTCACGGAGCGTGCGCAGCTCGTTGGACCGCTCATCCAGCTGTTTTTCCAAGCGACGCACCTCTTCACGCTTGTTTTTCAAACTGCCTAACGCTCGATACAGTTCCTGCTTGATATGACCCATGCGATCGGTGGGATTTAGGGGCGTGCTACCCGTCAGACGCGATGGCAAACGACTTGGCGAATCGGCCTCCGATTGATGCTGCTGTATCAGCGTATCCATCATATCCATTTCCGCTGTGGTGCCATTGAGGCGCTCCGTTAGCTGCGCTATCGTCTGCTCCATGCTAGCCACCTGTGCACGCAAATCCGTAATGCATTGCTGCAGTCGCACATTCTCCGCCTCGTAACTGGGCTTGGCAGCCAGCTGTTGACAGCGCCGTTGGGCCACGTCGAGCGCCGAATTCAACTCATTGATTTTTTCTGCCTTATCTAGCAACACGGACTCGTGAGTGGACTGCAGCGCATTGTATCGAACATGCATTTGTTCGAGCTCCTGCTTCTTCTTGTCCAACTGGTCACTTAATTGGTTGACCTGCTGTTGCATTAACTCAATCTGGGCACGGTGACTCTCCTCCAGTTGCTTAATACGCATATCAGTGTTGCGATCCTCTCGCCTGTGCTGGTCCCTCTCGACCATATCGTACTTCCGCTGGACATCGGCGAGCAGCGTCTGTGCTGTCTCCAGCTTGCCAACCAGCTGAGTGTTCTCCGTTTCTAGCGCACGCTTCTCACATCGCAGCTTCTCAATATCATTGTCCAGATTCGAGCATTTCTCCTTGCTATCCACAAGCAGCTCATGTGTGTGCTGCTTCTCACAAAGCGCACGTTCCAGCTCCGCTTGAGTGATAGTCAGACGTTTCTGGAACTCGTCAATTTTTTTATGCGCTTCCGTTGCCGTCTGCTTGACGTTATTGAGCTCGTGCGTCCTTGACTCCAATATCATCTTAAGCTTATGAATCTCGCTGGCTGCATAGTCCGCTTGCTGTTGCTGTTGGTGTTGATGCTGGTACTGGTGCTGCTGCTGCGGCTGCGGCTGCGGCTGCTGTGTCGGTTGAATTGGAAGCAGAGGTAGCGGCTGCCCAGGTAGCATATCAGAGGGAAAATTACTTGTCGTATCTATTGTGCTCTCTGAATCGTCGTCATCTAAATCATCGAAAGCATTTTCCAATAAATTACCCAGCTGAAAGATGAACATATGCAAAATAATAAAAAATAACAATTTGCAAATTTAAGATAAACTAGGCAACGACTGAAATGTCAGCACATACCTCAGCTTCTCGACGTTTTTGATCCTGAAGCGCTTCCTCCTCTTCCTGACGTTCCAAAGTTGAATTTACCTTCAGGGTATCAGCGCCCTGAAACAAACTAATGCCAGGCGTGTTCATTTTGCGTCCGTTCACAATCAATTTAAATTTGAATTTGACCTAATGGCGCAGGCGCTGTTCGTTCTTTCTTTCTTTTTTAGTACGATCTCAAGATAAGTATGCAGCTCAAGACATTTGCTAGCTAAGAAATAATTAAACTGTTCGCAACTGTTGCTTGGAAGTGAGACAAAACAAAAAAAAAAGGTTGCTGTAATATGCTCACTGATTTCACTATATTATATTGATATGAAAATAGTGAGACGCGGTGATATTTTGCTCAAAATACAATTCTCATTTCGATTGATTAGCATTCCACAGCACTGTAGCTGTACTGCCGTGCGTGCTATATGCGGCGGTTGGTCGATTACAAAAAGATTATGTCTCCCGGCTATCGATAGATGAATGACGCCAATATCGGACATTACTCAAAAATCATACTTATATGCGTTAAAATTCGAAGAGAAAATGAAAAACATACATCAATTTGTTTTTGCTTTTTTCAAATTTTTTCAGTTTTATTATTATTATACAGACTGTCCATTCATAAACGCACTTATATTGGGACATTTATCTAATTTCTCGGCATCTATATGGAAAACCTTGGACAAACGTTTCCAACTTTGCGCATCAAAGTAATAGAAGGTGCCACGCTCTTTTGTACCATTTTTTTCATATTGATTAATGCCAGGAATTCGAGTTATCCAAATTTTCTCCTCAACATGATACCGCCACTCACGACTATGCCTATGTATATAAAAACAGAACAAAACTTTGGTTTCAGATAACTGAAAATCGATATGTAACGAAACTTACAATTCAGCAGCTGCCATCAATTGCATCATATCACCGATATTCGTATAGAACAGGAAAAACAGCAGATCCTCTTGCAGCTTTTTCAGTACCGGCGCTGTGAGCTTATCTCTAATCGCAAAATTGATCAGATATTCGGGTGGCACGCTGTACTCAACGTCTTGTGCTCTGTTATAAAAATGACAAATATTAAGGATTGTAACAATGGGTTCCGAATTCGATCCGATTGGGTAGCTGCTCACCTGCAGGGTTGTTCCACGAATGGGCCTGCGAATGTTGGATGCAAACTCTCCTGTGAATTAAGATTTAAGCCCAGGCCCGTTAGATCCGTGCCCAGCGACAATGTCACCAGATTGGGATCCGTTTCAGCTGCTCGGATAAACGTTAGCAGACCCACCATGCCAAACTGATTGTTCACCATGCTCGCTGGTATATTTGTGACCTTGCCTGTATTTAAGAATTGCGGAGAACCGAATTCGATTACCAAATGTGCTCATCAGATCAGATCATTTTCAGGTACTTACCATCTGGCGATGTTTGCACGCCGCTCTTCACAAGTTTATCATTGCTGGAATTATCATTCATATGCTCGCCGCCTGCTCCACTGCTTGTGGCGCTACCGAGGCCGCCGCCCATCATAACATTGTTTCCGGTAACACTGTTGGCGCCACCGCCTCCACCTGTGCCGCCCACTAATCCTACATGCGTCGCGTTCACTACACCGCTCGACCCGCTGCTGTTGCCGCCACCACCGCCAACAACAGCGCCGCCTAGACCGCTTCCAACGGCGCCGTGACCATTTCCACCAACGCCCACGGCGCCGGAGCTGGCCGAACCGCCGCCGCTGACCACAATTGAATTCATTGCCTTTTCCGTGCCATCCAGATTATTGTCTGTGACACCGCTTCCACTTCCTCCTCCGCTACCACCTCCAGAAGCGTTGCCAACGCCGCTGCTGCTACCCAACGTATTCGTTGTGCCATCCGAATTTTGGGTACCCGGTAACGCAGGAAAGTCCTCGTTCGACATCGTAAACTCCGATTGCTCTGACGTTGGTTGTTTGACCATGCCAACTGAAAGTAATACCATCAGTTCATTTGTTAGGGTGCATAAACTCATTTAAGAAACAGGTATGACAACCTGTTTCAGTGTACAGGGAAACCCTCATTTTACTTTGTTAATTCCAACACCAGTAAACAATGAGTACATACAAACTAAGTTAAGATTCACACAATGATTCGATAAAACTGAGTTCAACTAGTAAAATTGGTTAAAAGAGAAATGTAGAACGTTTAAATCATCTATCAGGTACATATAAGAAGTAACATATTAAAAACATAAGACTACATTGAAATGAAATACATGAACAGATAGATATATATAAGCAGAGCCAACCGCAACCAATTAAAATTGTAAACAATTAAGGTAACAGAAATTAATTTAAAAAAAAGGTGGATTTTCTTTTTGAACTCACAAGAGGTAAAGAAATTACCGTAGGGTTTGCTGCCCGGCGGCTGGAGGGTATTCGATTGGGGCAGTGTCTGATCGTTCTGGCCACGCGCATTCGTCAGCGAAGGGAACTCTGTGGGATCAAGCAGCGCTGGCGTTGCTGCGTCCGCCCCGCTGCCGCCTCCGAATACATGAAAGTTATTTAAAGGGCCTCCACCTGCACCACCGCCTGTGCCATATCCACCACGACCGGTTTGCATAAAGTTTCCCATGTTCGACTGTAACGCAAATATACAACAATAATGTTTATAGACGTGTAATTCATATTATCAGTGTTATCATCGCTATTTACCATGGGCCCGCTGCCCAAACCCTGCATGGCACGACGTTCCACAAACGGCCGTTGGCCAAATAGATTCGCATTGCGATTGCCACTCGATAACGCGGGACCACCAACCGATAACTGCACATTGCGATTCGGAGATAGCTGAGGCGGCTGTTGCGTTTGTTGACCGTAATTCGCAGCGCCGGGATAAGAGGTGCCGAAATCTAAATAAAAACAAGCAAAATTAATATATGCATATTATGAAATTTGCTAGTTAAGTTGACACTTACCGGTTTGGAACATGCCGGACGTGGGGGTTACATGGCCAGACATCGAGCTACCACCAAAGCCGCCCGTTGTGCGGCCTGTCAAAGCCGCGTTTGCTATGCTTCTCGGAGGTTGTTGAAAATTTAAATTCGCCATAATCTGGGGAAGCAGAAAAAGAAATAATTTGTACTACTATTAGTTTAGTTATATGTCTTTGAAACAGCGAATCACGCATTTATGCTGCCTAATTACGATAATTACATTGCATTAACAACTGATATTATGTTATCGATAACAGAAATAGTGATGTATTTGAATTGCGTATTTATGTTTTCCGCTAATTGATTTTAATTAGCAGTCTCAAATCCGTTATCGATAACAAAGCTAGCCCCAAAAGGTGAAAACATTATATTGTTATAGCACATCATCATGATGCAGCCGTGACGTGTTTTTGGCGCGCACAAAAATTGATATACATATCAGCCAATTGGACAACAACATCAACAAATCAAGCAAGGCCGGCTGTTGTTTATCACAAAAGTTTGCTGCAGCTGAGACAGACAGAGAAAGAGAGTGCGAGAGGGCCATAAAATATAAATATACATACATACATACATATGTATGCGAGCAAGAGGTCTGTGTCGCTGACTCAGTTAGATTCAAGGAGAGAAAACAGAACCCAAATCCCGCACATTTGATAACAAAAGTTGTGAGTGCAGATAATTATTGTGGCGCGTTGAAAATAACGCAAACATATGTTTAAAAATAAATATAAACAAGACAGATGGCGAACTACTCGGTTTCGCTGTCTGGCTTTAGCGTTGCCTTTGCTTTTGATTTTTGTTTTTTTTTTTCTTTGTTGATTTTTGGGGGCGGGTTTTTATTAATTTGCGGCTTCAATAAAGCCAAGGTCGCTTGAAATTTTTACGTAACTTTTGTCTCAAAGGCAGCAGCGATATTCAGATGTAATCAAGTTGTAACATCTACAAAAATGGAGGCGATAATAGTGAAATTGAATACAGAATAGGTAAACAAAGTGTCGTTCACTTTGCAACACTAATTTAAATTAAATGGCCGCACGAATATCAACAGCTGTAAAAAAGCCACAAAATGAATGGACACAGACAGTACATAAAATAAACACACACAAATCGGTATAAATATCGCTCAGACAAGACGTAGGATGCTCTGTCTGTGGGCTCTACTCAAAATGGCACACAAAAGAACGCACAAAAGGTAAATGAAAAAGGACGAAAAGAACTTGACACAGAGGATCAATATGGGTGTGTGTGTTGGTGTGATCGTGTTCATGAGTATGACTGTATGTGTATGTGCATACAATAAAAGATGCTACTTGTGTTGCTGATCTGCAATTAGCTCTGCCTGCACTTGTCTGTACCCAGCTCATTATTTATTTTCTTGTTCCTTTTGTTTTTCGAGCACCTTTTCATGCTCTCTTAGATACTTGTCGATTTGTTTGCGCTAACTTGCCAGATTTTGATTTGTCGATTACTTTACACTGTCGTTGATGCTGACCGTTCATTTATTCGCTCAATCACTATATGTACATACATATGGGTAACTTCATCAGCTGACCAATTTACGATTTGCAACACTGATTTCGCTTACAACAAAACACAGCGAATTCGACTATGGCCAATTAGCGTTTAGGGCTAGCCTTGAACAGCAAACTTAAGCAACAAATATACCTATGAATTGTGATTGACTGCGAATGCTAAAAGTTGTTGGATTTTACAGTACACTTACCTAAATGAACGATGGATGATAATGCTGCTGCTTCTTCCTCTTCTGCCACTGTTACTGCTAATGTTTTCCGACTACTGCTGTTACCAACAACAACATACACTGAATGGTTTGTTCTCACCGCATTTAACATTCCAAAGCGACTGGGACGTTGTTGTTGTTGTTKCTGACGCTTGCGTCGTCGTTTCGTCAGATGCTGCACCAACTGACGCTTACACTTTGTGAACTTGAATATATGCTCAGCTCTGATCACTCGATTCAGTTTCTTTTACTGTTACTTATAAATGGCACTCGTCGCACATACACAACGGCACACGGGCTAGCAGGATATACACTCTCATACACACGGTCACCCACACGAGGATGAAGATGATGCGCAAAGTGTAACCGCAACGTGAGGAGAGAGGTTAGTTGGTATTTTTCCGCGCCGTATCGTCCCTAAATATATTGCACATATATATATATGTATATGTAAATATATATGTACGCACGTACACTCACGCTGTGTATTGGTAACTGTGTATTGGTGTACTTTACTTCGTCGTGCCTACCCGAGAGCAGGAGTACCGAAGGTTTGCCTAGCAGCGCAAAGCGGCGACTACAGAATTTTTAACTGCTGCACTGTCGTCCGTTGCGAAACGTCCATTAATAAGTTTTTCCTTCCAATGTCGTTTTGCTTAGTTCGGCCTTTTTTCTGTTAGTTTGCCTTGGTTTATATATATTATGTTGGTTTTATTTGTAAGTAAATAATTGCTTGCTATTGCGCTGTTGCCACTGCTTCTTCTTCCTTCACTGCTTCCACAGAATGTGTGTGTGTGTGTATGTCTCTGTCTTTGTTTTCTCAGTTCATTGAAATTTCACCCGAACGCGAATTTGGGATAAATTCGCTTCGCGATTTGCGCACCTTTTACGCCGCGCAGAAATTAACGCACGTTTATTTAAAATAGACTAATGCCTATTTATTGTATATACAATAATATAAACGACTTTTGAGCGCTCGAAAAACGCTTAAAATGTACACAAAATACGTTCCGCAAAAACTTTTGTGGCTCGTCACATACGAATACAAATACACAAAAGACGGAGATAGATGATGGGTATCGGTGCAGCATTGTTATCGATAGTGGCGTTCATAGTAGCAACAGCAGGGTTGCACATAACGATTTAGGCCTGCTATACACGGCGAGCTGTTCATAAATATGGTATTTAAATATAATATGATAACTTGCTTATAAAGAAATAAATAACAAATTTGCTAGTGAAAAAGCGCTGCTGTTTAATTAGTTATATCCGGCTTTTTTAACGAAGCATATGAATTGATTTCACGAAAACTTTGTCTGCACGTGCCTGAGCCGCATATCTTGTTATTCGCATTTGTGACAGTGTCAATTTATTCACTTGAAATAAGATTACTTTAAAACATGGGCGACCCAAATTCAGACGATGAAAGCGGTAAGTACACTATTATATATTTAGCTGTACCAGCTGTACTTAAAAGGCTCTTAAAGGTTCTGGATCCGGTTCCAGTCGAAGTGGAAGCCGTAGCCGTAGCGTCACACCGCAACGCAGTGCACCAGGGTATGTTTTTACTACCTGTTAAAATTATATTATTAATGACATATTACCCTTTTAGTTCGCCTCGCAGCCATAAGTCGGGCAGTGGCAGTGATCGTTCACGCTCTGGATCGAGAACCTCGCGTTCGCGCTCTGGCTCAGGCTCGCCGCATAGTCCACGCTCCGGCTCCGCAGCCAGTCGACGCTCGCGCTCGGGCTCGGCTCATAGTCCACGCTCTGCATCTCCACACAGCCAGCACTCCGGCTCACCTGATAGCAAGCGTTCTCATTCTCGTTCCCGTTCTCGTTCCCATTCACGTTCCCGCAGCGGCACACCCCATAGCAAGCACAGTGGCACGCCCCATAGCAAGCGCAGTGGCAACGAGGACTCCCGTTCTAACTCCCCCAACCTGCAAATCGATGATCAACGTGCCAATTCAAAGAGCAAAAGCCGCAGTCGCAGTGGCAGTCGTACTTCCCGATCTAAGTCTAGATCTCGTTCTCGTTCACACTCCCGCTCCAAGTCGGGCACACCTCATTCGGGTCGCACCTCACGTAGCCGAAGTGGCTCCGCTTCTGGATCGGGTAGTGATATTGGCGTGCCCAAGAAGAAGCCGCGTCGTCAAAGCAATTCTGATAACGAAAAACCTGATGGCGACAACACATCGCCCTCAAAAGCAAAGAAGGCTCGGCTGATTGACTCTGATAGCGATGAGGACGAACCGGTAGGTCAATGAGGGTTCTCTGTTGTCTGAAGTGATCGTATTCATTTATCCTTTGACTATTTGCAGCCTAAAACAGCGCCTGCCGCATCTGATATTTTTGGTGATGCGGACGACATCAGTGACGACGAGGACACAGCGACCGCCGTGCGCAAATCCCCAGCAGGCAGCTTGGCTCGGTCGCGCAGCCGTAGTAAGAGTAAATCGCGTTCACGCAGTGGCTCAGTAAGCCGATCACGTAGTCGTTCTCGCTCACGCTCTCGCGACGCAGAGCCGCGTCAAGCCGTGCCCAAGGAAGATGAACCAGAACCGTTGCCAGAGACGCGCATTGATGTAGAGATACCGCGCATATCTGCCGATCTGGGCAAAGAACAACATTTCATTAAGTTGCCCAATTTCTTGTCTGTGGTCACACATCCCTTCGATCCGGAGACATACGAGGACGAAATCGACGAAGAGGAGACCATGGACGAGGAGGGCCGGCAGCGTATCAAGCTCAAGGTTAGCAACACCATCCGTTGGCGTGAGTATATGAATAACAAGGGCGAAATGGTGCGTGAATCAAATGCGCGTTTCGTGCGCTGGTCCGATGGCAGCATGAGCCTGCATCTGGGCAACGAGATCTTCGATGCGTATCGTCAGCCGCTGGTGGGCGATCACAACCATTTATTCATCCGTCAGGGCACAGGTCTGCAGGGTCAGTCTGTGTTCCGGACCAAGCTAACCTTCCGGCCGCATTCAACTGAGTCGTTCACACACAAGAAGATCACCATGTCGCTGGCGGATCGATCGACCAAGACGAGCGGCATTAAGATACTCACGCAGGTGGGCAAAGATCCCACCACAGATCGCTACTCGCAACTAAAGGAGGAGGAGGCCAAACTGCGCTTGGCCATGCGCACCCAACACAAGGCGCAGCCCAAGAAGAAAAAGGCTGGGGCCGGCGAACCACTCATTGGTGGCGGCGGCAACTCGTCATATCAGCACGACGACGGCAGCGACGATGAGAATGCAATCAGTTTAAGCGCCATCAAAAATCGTTACAAAAAGGGCGGCAGCGGCGGCCAGGCGGAGCCAAAGGCCTCAACCATTTACTCCTCAGACGAAGACGAGGGCTCGGACTTTGAGGCGCGACGCAGCAAGAAGGTAAACAAGGCAAAGGCCAGCAAAGCACTGCGCGACTCCGACAGCGAATCTGACGCCGGCAGTGGCAAAAGCAACGACCGCGCTGCAGGCGCCAACAGTCGCAGCGGCAGCGGCAGTGGCAGTGGCAGCGACAACGAAAGCCGTAAGTCAGGCAGCGGCAGTGGCAGCGGTTCCGGTTCCGGCAGTGGCAGTGGCAGTGGAAGCGGCAGCGACAATGAATAGTTTTTGAATGAAAGAATGAGAAATTGAGTGTTCCATAATATGTATAAGCATTATGGAATCCTGAACACTAGGTTAAATATCTGTTTCAAGTAAGTTCTTTAAGCAAAATAAAACGAAATTGTCCAAAAACTGTCTTTCTTTGTCGACTATTAAGATAATATCCAAATCTGATTGTAACGAAAGTTATGTCGTAACTTAAGTAATTAGTTCACAGATGATATTATCCAGTCATATAATGCTCTATAGGCTTGCTCAACAGAATTTATATTATATAAGATAATACATATTTTAAGCCCTAATGTCTTATACTCTCCATCTCATCGGGCTCATTTGTGTTATTTATATTACTCCTGGATATTTGACACTTCCCAACACAAAAAGGGACTCCGCGTAAAATATGTGAATATTCGATAGCCCGATTATTATTATTAACCATAATGCAATGTGTATTTTCTTTTCTATATATATATTTCCATAAATTATTGCTTAAATATCCTTTTTTTTTTTTTACAGAATTAGTCTATGTCGTTAACAGACGACGTTTTCAACCCAAAAATACATAATTTTATATTTGTTACATATTTTTCTTTTTTTTTTTTTTTTTT